AAAAATAGATTTTTCATATGTTTTACTATGTGATCGACAAAAATTACGTAGACTTTTGTCCAGTGAGTGTATAATGAGGCATCCTTAAGTTATTATCACTATTATGCAGCGTCAAATCCGGGAGTCTTCTTGGACTATACAGGCCTAATGATGAAGGACATTTACAGGCTCCTCAGAGAAAAACCAGTTGCCACTGATAACAAGCCTCACCCTGTCTTAATTATAATGCGATCCTCACACTCCCCTCAGGCAATTCGAAGAAAGAGGCTGATGCTCCGCCTGTCCTTGCTGCAGAATTTGTAGTAACAGATCTTTCAGCACAACACCTTGCATTTTGCTTGCATAATTTCCATCAAAATGATTATAAGCTATTTGGTTCAAATATTGTCCATACCTTGTGCAATCAGACTGTGCATGGGATATTTTGCAAGCTGTACTGTTGGAGTATAATGGAGAAACGCCTAATGAATACTTGGATAGATTGACAAAAAATGCAATTAGTGGAGATGAACCAGATCCTCAAAAAGTAGTTGTTTCATGGTGTTATGGACATTGCATCAGGGCTGTTCAAGGACATGTGAGATCAGGAAACTTTCATTGTCAACGAAATATTGATAAAAAAAATATTCTAAATGCAGCAATGAAAATATGGTGCTGTGTGCAAGCCAGGACTACGTTTCCAGAGACAGATAAGGAAACAAAATGTTGGAATTGGCTATTAAATCAACAATACCTCAATCTGGTCAACTATATCATTGATCTCAACACAATGGAATCCCTTCTAACAAAAAAGCTCAAAATAAACATTGATGACATACCAACAAATGAGCTTCAGATAGACATGGACAATATTGATGATAGTTCAGATCGGGCCTCTGGTAATAGTAATGAGATATCAAACAGAGAATGGTATTATACAATAAATGAAGATATTCTTCTTCGAATTGTGGAAATATCAACAGACATTACTGACAGTGATAAAAATAATTCAGTCAATAAAAATGATCTAAATGTGATGGTAAACAATAGACATTATAGAATCAGTTATATGTTAGATATACCTGATCTCTACATAAAGATTCCTATAGTGCCAGACTTCAATGGTCGCTTCCTCAATCAACAATGGTGGAGCTGTGTTGTATTATGGAGTAATTTTATCAGACGAATAGCCCAATGGGAAAGACGAACAACAGCAACAATTGAGGTTTATCACAAAATCCTGAAATGATGGACATCTCCAAACGAAGCCTACCTCTTGATCAGTATTTGTATGCTCATGCAGCCATAATTTGAGCAAATCAACAGTTGGTTGCAGAAAAAATTTTATTTGTGGGGTTGAAAAAGGCTCTTCCAAACCCTGCAAATGAGAATGAATCATGGGTGAAAAATGTTGTCAAGTTTTCTGCAACCCAAGAACAGTTCCTGAAAGATTTTATACAGGCATACAGAATTCGAGAACGGAGTTGTAACTTAACTCAGTGAATTTGCACTAGGCAACTCCATGATCTGTCTGAAAACAAGATCAATATCCAGCAGGGTAGTATTTTGAGCATGCTCCAAAAGAAATATATACCTAAAGATGAACTAACCTTGGACATTATCAGAATGTGGGTATGCAACATTAATGATGATATGGTTTTTCAGCAGGAGGGTCTGGTTAGTGAGGAGAATCAACTAGAGGTGTTAGAAGAGTAGGAAAAGCGAAAAGGAAGGCCTTAAAAATAGTATCCTGTTAATCATCTATAAATGACAAATAGTCTTGATCTTTGTATAAATAACTGTAAATAAAATTGATGGCTCTTCATATAATAATAATAAAGTAAATGAGTGATGCTATCTGTATAACAAGGCTTTATGCTGTTCCCAGAAACAATAAAGTATGGCAGAGTCTTCATACCTGTTGATAGTAGTGGTTGTTTGCCATATTAATATGCTGATTATCATATGCCATACAGCCATTAATAAAGAATATTATTGGTTGTTTTACTTATCAGCTGTTGGATTGTGTGACCTGGCAGGTAACTTCCCGTTTCTAACTATATATGGGAATCTTATGAGCTGTATGACCTGGCAGGTAAATTCCTGATTATGGGAAAATGTGTCTTTGATTTTGAGGTTACTACTACATACGTTTATAGATTCGACACATAAGACCAACCGTTATGACTGGCATTTATTTACTCTATATATATATGTTTGTGATACTTACAGATGCTGGAATGTGGGTGCTCATTTTTTTGTGAGCACTGAGAATGCAGATACAGTCACAGAAGCATTAAGAATAATCCGTAATAAGTGTTGCCATTGGTCCCCTCATTATGTACTCTCAGATCAAAGTAGCATCGAAGCAAAGAGCATTAAAAAGACATTTCCTGGTATAATTGCCAGTGAGCAAGAATGCCAAATCCTCCTTTGTGTTGTACACGTTATGCGCTTATGGATGCGAAAAATTCATGACAAAAAG